GGAAAAGTGGACAAGTAATTAGGGACATAGGAAGTATAATGCTTGTTTTTCTTTTGCATAGGAGAAAATTGAAGAAATTCATCGTCAAAGGTTAGAAAGTATTGTCGAAGTTTCACCAAATGATGCACTTGGTATAGTACTCGGTCCCGAACCCCCGGGCCGTGTTCGAGGGTTAGGCTTGGGTGTTGTTCCAACTATGGCATTCAAACAAACATCTAGGAGATTTAAGCATGTTGATGTGAGTTCATCTAGCACTAGCGCTCCACTTCCAAAGTGGCAGCAAGAGATGACGAGTATGGAATCACAATTGAGTGCACTTCTTAGCTAATATCAAAAGAACATAGGGAATGTCCCTAAAGAGTTTGCTCACCTATTTCCACCTCCTCCACAGGTATGACCATCATAAATATCTATCATAAATTGCTTTGATGTGGTACTTGCAATTGAGAAGATAATCATGATATATGTATATGGTCGTAACACCTCATGTGAGTTGTTACTGGTCTTCTTGAGGATAAATATAAGATGAGTAAGGCTGTTAGCATTAACTGCTACATACCAATTCAAAAGTCACCTTGAATTGTATCAAGGCTGTTAGCATTAACTGTTACATACCAATTTCTCTAGCAAATAGGTATTTCATTCTCGGAGTATGATCATCAACATGCCTGTTAATTATTTTTTTCAGGCATCAGATATAGAAAGTGATGCTCGTCAATCATCAATCAGACCAACTATCGATTAGAAATCTTCATATGAAAGTAACAATGATGATGGACTAAGGAAATCATTTTTTGGATTCTTTTTTTGAATATTTTTGTTGAATGACACTTGAAATTACTATTTTGATGATGTAATTTTGGAGTTTTGGAAAACACTTCAAAGATTTAGTATTTTGATATAAGTTGGATCTTTGAATAACAGTTCAAAACATTAGTATTTTTTATGTAATTTTGGAGTGCTTTTGTTTAATGTGATGAATATTTTGCTCATATGATTTTTAATGTTTTGTTAAAGCTATTAATTATAGAAATTTAAATATATAGGGTGAAATAAAGAGGCTGTAAATATGGATTGACAAAATTAGAAAATGTAATAATTTACGGCGTCATGAACTAAACATTACGGCGTTTTAAAACCGTTGTAATAGATAAATGATTTATTTTTCTACAATTACGACAGTTGTAAAATGCTGCTCTATACAACAAAAAATGTCGCATTAACAAAGGAATATTATAGAGGTTTTATAAATATATTACGACGGTTGTATATATAAGTTACGACGATTTTCGAAAAACCGTCGTAATATGTTTGTGACAGACGGGATTACAAGATTTTCAGGAAACGTCGTTATAGTGCATTGTGACGGTTGAAAACCGCCGTAATATGCATAAAAAAACGTCGCAATAACCCTTGTTTTTCTGTAGTGAACAAAGGGAAGGATTTATGCTATCGAGATCAATGGGTTCGATCCAAAACTTGAGATAATGGGTGTAAATCAAAAAGGGTCATTCAATGAGCATCTTGTATTTCTTAAAAAATGGGTTCAATATATTCCTCCTATGTTTTTCCGTGGACTATTATGCTTTGGAATTATTGGATTGAAATTGACACAGACAAAGCAAAAATTAATTTGGAATAACAAGCTTTACAGCTTTGTCTATTGAAAAGAAAAGGGGATGAAAATATTATTATCATACCGGGTTAAATGGGTGAGTATTTTAAAAAATCAGGTATTTATAATTTGGGGACGTACAATTGATTTTAAACTTGATATGTGTCCTTCCATCAAAATTAAGGACAAATTTATGTCAAAGTTTAATGAGAGAGACATATTTGGATGAAGTTATAACAAAGAACATATTGGAACTATTTCTAATAATACATAGGTATATTTGACCTTGATTCATTTTTTTTAAAGTCACGTGCCATTTTTGTAAGTGAAGTGCATGATCTATATATTGTCAAACGATAATTATTTTCTACTTTTGTTCACAAATTGGTATTGGTTCCTACTTTATTTCAGTTGTCTGGAGCATTAACTAACGTCGCTTATAATAATGCCACAACAACCTGTAACATCCGGTAATGTGAAATAATTGAAGAGGCTTAGAATTGGAAATTTTCATTTTTGGAAAGAATTTTAAAGTTTTGGAAATTTTGGCCAAGTATGGAAAAATGTGAATTTTTGGCCAACTTTGAACAGCCATAA